TTGATCCTCTACTGAACTATCATCAGACTCAGTTATGTGTACGACTCTTAAACTGTCGGATCTGCAGTTATCGACAGACTTTGAAATATCTTTGTTCTCATTCATTATTTCTACCACAGAACCTTTTAACATTTGAGTCTTAAATGATGTAATTCTAGGTGCCTTTGCCCTGACAATATCTAATGCGGTATCGCTTATCTTTCTTTTATTATTAATCTTATTAGGTAAATCGGATGTTTCAGATTGATTTTTCCTCAATATTCTAGTTGTATGCTTTGTTTGTGAATATTTAGTTGCGTCTGGTTCATTATCTTCTGCTTTATTGGTCAAGTGGGCATTTATCTCAATTACTTTATCTGGAGTCTTCAAATCGCCAACAACCTGTCCATTTTCCTTTAAATTCCTTTTTCCAAAATTGAACTGGTTATCTTCTCCTCTTCCACTTTCCTTCGATGTATTATTTTGAATATTCTCAAATCTATGTTTCGAATCATTTTTAACTTGGGATTCTATTTCTGAATTGTACGATTCTTCATTAGTGCTTTCATTACTGGCAGAGATAGTCAAAGGCGTCGGTTGAATCTCATTATCTTTGTATTCATTCTTGTTAGTATTTTCCTCTATATTTTTACTTAAACTGACTTCTGGTCTCTCTTCTTGTACTTTTTCTAGTGCCGACATTGCTCCGTTTGTTACATCGTATTTTGTATCATCTTGTAATTTCAACTTTAATTCTTCATTATCTATTTCTTCTATCCTTCTTCGTATTGCTTCCATTGGCAATACTTTCCTGTTATCATATTTTTGCAAGTTATCACCAGCTTTATCTATTTTCTCATCTTTAATGGAATTATCTTGTGATGTTTCTTTAAGTTCACTGGATGAATTTCTAATAAAATCTTGATTTTCATTCTTGTCAATATCCAGAATATTTGCTGAGACATTTGGTTTCGGTATTTGTTGAATTTCATCAAATCTACTTCTTGCTTTATCTGATATTGCAGGCTTCTCGACAGAATATTCAGGGAATTCAACTTCTTCTACATTCAAAAAATTTACAATTTTCATGCTACCTCCAGTCCGTCTTTTATTTCCTCTATCATTTAAATCAGTTTTGGTCATAGTGTCACCAATTAAAGAAATAATGGGTGGCCTGGAAGCATCTTCTAAATCAATATTTTGATTTTTATCTGCAATTTCGGCAAGCTTCCTAGAGTGTGGAGCAATATCAGGGTTATAAGCACCGGTATAATTCAACTCCATTTCATCTTCATCTCTCACAAATAGTGCGCGGCCCCGATCTGTTTCTATTTTGTCACCACCAATCAGTTGTGTTTTCTGGTCCTCATCATGTTCTGATTCCGTTTCTTCATCTTTCGATTGAACATTATGAACATATTCTGATCTTGGACTTGAAGTATCGGATAATGCGGTAAATTCTGTTTCGCTATCTTGAACAAATAAAGACTTCTTTTGTTTTTGATTATTCGAATTTCTATCATCGTAAGCATTGGAGTTTGGATTTATCCTAAAATTGGAATTCGGTATATCATTCAGAAACCCTTCAATTGGCGCTGTTTTGGTTGTATTAACATTTACATGATCATGTGCAATAACTGTGTTTGGAATATTATTATGTAATCTCTCTGTTACATTCAATGGTGATTCTAGTGTTGATTGTGACCTTTGTGATTTATTGGTGCGTTCCTCAGGTAATCCTAATGTTCTTTCCGGTACTATATTGGGCCCTTGGGATTCGTGAATAGGTTTGTGAACTGTATTTGTCAGAGGTGAACTGAATGAATTATTTTCCATATTTCCTGATATATTATTCTGATTGTGTCCTAGTGGTGGCATATAACTCTCTGAAGGTTTCCCAATTAACGAAGTTCGTGCTTCTAACTGAGGTTGTGACTGTGTGAATCTATCCAATGATATATTCACTTCTGTTTGTTGAGGTAGTTGTGAAAATGCATTTCGAGCAAGCTGTTGTTCTTGCTTTGCTTTTGACTGTGGTTTTGGTTTCGATTTTGATTTTAATAACATTAGCAAACGTTCAGTACCTGATGTAAGAGGATTCGACCTTCGTATCTGTAATGTTTTGTTTTGGTTTGTATCTATGCTGGGAATTATTGTTTCTTTGTTGCTGTAATTATTGTCTGCAACAGTACTCTTGATCTGTGCTTCAGCAATATTTCTTTCCAATTTGAACCAAGAACTACCTTCGGGTGTAGGTGTTAACTTCATTAGTTCTATATTTCGTATCTTTGGTTCATTTATATTTTCATTATTCACCAACGATACCTTCGGTACCATATAAGACATATGTTGCTGTATCTAACAATACTCCACGTTAATCAAGTTTCCCTTGGTAGAAGTAAATTTAAATAAACAAAACTCAACGATACTTTCCCAACGACGACTATGATGAAGATACGATGGATATTTGATGTTGTTCCTGTGAAATTTTATCACACCCGCTATTGATTTACTACTACTAAGAAAAAAAAAATGTCAATTTGGAACACAGTTGAAAAGTGAAATAAAAACAATGATAAAATCGCAATTGCCAATTTGTCTCTTAACTATTTTACCCAAGACAAATTCCTAATCGACTATTAAAATGATTAGCTCCGAAACAACTGCTTCTATTCTATACTATATATATATATTTGAATATGTCTTCGTATCTGTAGCAGTAGCTTCAGCTGTAGCCTTAGCTTTATTTGCCTTGTGATTACAATTTCCCTTAATGATATATTTACAACGATAAATATCTAAAAAGATACCCTTCTCATCTAAAAACTAGCTCTTCTTAAATATATTAAATATCAAAAATGAAAATAAAATTTACTAAGCAAAGCTGCTATCAAAGAAAAAAAAAAAAAAAAACGAAGTATGATATACAATATAGTAACCTACTGACCTGAGGAATAAGGGCAAGACCGTTTTAGCTCGTGTGAGTTTTGGGATATCTATATACATATATATACATCATATGTGTGTAAATGTATAAGTCATCGACCCAATATAAAATAAATACAAGAGATGGAGAAAAATGGGAAATAGTAGCTACTTTACGTGAATCATGTTGTAATTGTAGTTGTTGTGGATTAGCAGCTCACAGCCTTCTATAGAAGGGCTATAAGTGAAAAATATCCGATCATTTACTTATAGGCCCACCATTATTTCAATTCTTTTAGGTTGCCCTATATCGCAGGACTCTTGGCCTAGAGCAGGAAGTTCATCTCGTGTGTATATTGTTTCGAGGTTACTTCGTACGAACCTTGGAAAGTGACGAGATATGTGTTGTTACAACAACGTTGATATATTATTATCATTATTGCCATTAAAAGAGATCATTGTATATTATTGTATATTATGTATTATCTTAAATTGTACATAAAATGATCAATCTATAATATAATTAATTATTAGTATATTTACTTTATAATACAAATCTCTAAATTAAGATTCTCCTGAATAAACGCAAAACAATCTTTATTCTAACGTATACAAAAATAACTATACAACTAAATAGTAATTAAAAACTTACCAAATATGGGCCAATTAATATATGTGGTTTGCACACGTGACTCACACCCATACATCCTCTTAAGGTTGTTTTATTCATTTGCATTTAACAATCTAGGCTCCTCAAGATGTTAGGTTGTTAGAGATGTGATTATTCTAGTCGTTGCCAGTACAATTGGATGCGACTGTAAGAGTTTTTGTTGGAGTGTAGTCATCTGATCAGGTCGTAAAGGATGGACGTTGGCTTTGAAACTATACTTGTTTTTGACACTTGTTTCCTTCATAGATACTCATATTTCATTAGAGGGTAGGTTTTTAGATTTTCACTAATATATTCTTCATATAATTTATTAGTGACTTGGGTTCGACGTAAATTTGCAACTGGGTTGGTAAGTGAAGATTACATTTTGGAAGGAAAAAAAATAAAAAATAGAAAAAGCCACTCAGACGAACCTGGAGTTAAGTGTAACGTGTTTAGATGTGTGCTTTTTATTCTTGGAGGTTAGTAAAAATTTGGTTGAGTGTATTCTTGTTGTTCCTTGTTTTAGAAATTATATAGTTCTTGCTGGCGATTAACACCTGGTGACACTAAATATATTTCGGATGCTGTAGTAGATATTAGCGGTTATGACAGATCATTTTATAGCAGTAAGAATTGGATAAATCCTAAATTAGCATTTTCTTTTTACTTTAACTTATAGTATCAATTTTTGTCATAGTGGTATTAAATCTACGAAAAAGAATTAGAACTGCTGGAGGAACTTTTTGTGGAAACTGCCAACAGTGTCCCGATAACAAGAAGGACATGCGTCATGGTTGGAACATATGCATCTTGGAGAGTAACAACTCATAAGAATTCAATTTAGTTTAATGGAGATTAAATCAATACTCACTAAAATGCCATTTAGCGGTTGGTGTAAAAATAATTTGTCGCTATTTCATGATGATTGAATTTTAATTGTTCCTTTTGAAAAGCTGCAGTTGTTGTAATGAAAACTAAGTCCCACTAATTTTCTTCATTGGTACTCCCACAAAAAAGAAGAAACATTGTCTATTGGATTACAAGATAGAGTTGAACGTCATGATAGTAACTCAATAGGTCCCATAGTCCTTCTAATTAATATGGAACCGTATAAAATTACTTGTCTGTCAAAATATCACGTTAATATTTGGTTTTAACCTCCACAATGCTGTAACTGTAACAGAAGGTTAGAAATGAATATTTAGTTAATAAGCCTTTAAATCTTGGTCATGCAAAAATGATATAAAATTAAGTAATACTGTTTTGAGAGAATTCTCATGCAGTTTATTATAAGAGAGCCAGTATCAAATACAGCTAAAAATAAGCGTTACTTTCATTCTTCTGTCATCTCACCGTGGTTCGATGAATATTAAATAAAGGAATTCAAACTATGTTAATATCTTTTGATATATTAATAGGCCTGTGACATTCGTTAGTTTCACTTCATTGAGTACAGAATAGTTTTATACGGCATATTAAACCCTGGTGTGACAGACAGATCCATCGAAGAACGATTAAATTTTTGATCTTAATAGTATTTAATTCCTTCCTTGAGAACATACGAATACAATTCTGAAGACCATCTTTTACTTGAGATTGAAAGGTATCACTGGATTATTTACTTTGGAAATATTTTTGCAATATCTGATTGAAGAATGAATCTAATAACTTAAAATAGGCGTGTCATTATTCTTTTTAAGCAAAGCATGAAATCGTAAATAGGTTATCTTTGATTTTATTTTAAAGATATCCTCAGGTTTATTACAAGTTACTATACTATTCATTAATAGTTGTTATCAGTACTTGGTCTATGTTTCTATGATTTGTTCTTCCAAGTTATAGTTAGAAGCTACATAAAGGGTATATCTCTTAATTTTAAAACAATTGAACTATTTATATTGATTGAAATGGTTGTTTCGCCGTGTTGCTAATATAAGGCACGATGGTCTTTATATTTATTTAGCCAGTTACAATTAGATCACTAAGCGTTTTACTCCGTTTATATTATCTACATCACCGTCTAAAGGGCAGTATTCCAATGACAGTACCCTGACAACAACTTCATAGCAAATCTTACCAGAACATTACTTGTCGCTTAAAAAAGCAAACGAAGATGCATAATAAATATATATACAGTTCAAAAAATATATATTTATATTTATATATATGTAAATATGGAGAAATTGATTTTTAAGAATTGAGATAATTGATATTTATATTTTGTAATGAAAATAAAGTATTTATGAAAACTTGAACAATAAGTTAAAACACCTAAACTTAAATTCAAAACAAAACACATAAAATTTCCTATATAAGTATTTCTAATGATTGTGTCATCACACTAATAAAACAACAGCCAGGGAGAAATATATCTTTCAAGAAATAGGAATAAACCTAAATAAGAAATAGCCTCAGTTGTTTTTCAGTCACTTAGCCAAATCAAGATACTTCCCTTCATCACTCATCTAAGAAGTCCCATATGTAAGTGTAAAATAATTACAAATAAAAGTAAACTAAAAATTTAAACAACTATATCTAAACTCAGCACTCTAAACATCTAATGAATTTCAAGCTGGCACCAACTCTAAACAGTTCCAAGTACCTTTCAATTTCAACACTTCCCAAACACCCCAATCAACAATTGGAATACAAGAACCCTCTCGTCACATTTGAATGACCCCCACCACTTCACAAAAAATTCCCATGCTATCAAAAATATAATCTTCTTCCTCCCCCCCCACCTTAATTAATCAATAAATCTTCATCGCCACTCATTTATGACAATTTACACCGGGACGAATTTTATTCCCTTTTATTTTTCATTTGCCGCTTGCCTTCACCGGGGCCCCCTCAGACAAAGCTTCTCCAAAAAAAAAACACATTAACGGTATTTCGTTTTCTGCCATCCCCCAAAACCGGGAAAATTCAGAAAAAGGAAACTCCCCCCATATCAAGGGGGGTGAAATTTAAACCCAAATTTAAAGAAACTCTT